GTGTGTGTGCAGTAAGTGTGTGAACGATAATGCCCAACTTATTATGAAGAAACTAATCATTATACGAGCCATCGGACACAATGGGCAGAGCGGTGGACGATGGGGTCAAATCTCTTGATCTACAACGACCAGGAAAGGTTTATGAGCTTGAAAGAAAAGTAATTTTTATATGAAGAAAGTGCTGAAGCAGCAAATTTGAGTAAGCGAAAGGTAAGCATTAACAGTACTCACCTTCTGCAATGCATCGGCTTCCACAGGCAGCATCCCATCTAACTGGGCATTTTCTATCTGATCGATGACATTCTCTTCATTGGATCGTTGAAACTCGTGTCCAGTGTTATTAGAGTAACTGAAGCGTTCATAGAAACGTACTTTAGTGTCTCCTAAATACGATGTCGACAAAGAAAAGTCCATCACAACCATGACTCAAGAACATCACGACTTGGAATTCCTGGTTACGGTATCCCCTGCGACGCAAATCTGCGGCCTTTGTAATTCTCATCCAGTGCGATGACTATTTGGAATTCAAACATTCTTCAGTCACGAATATCTAAATTTCTTTCGCAGATCATCTCCAGCTATATGACTGACTACAACTTTGCTTTCGTTACCTTCTCTAACTTCCTCTTTAGGTGATGTTCTTAACACGGAGTGAGTATGACCGTGGAGTGAATACTTTCTCTCCCGAAGGACGTCTGTTTCAAGTCGAATATGCAATAGAAGCTGTCAAAGTGAGTCCACAGAAGTTTGCGTCTGCAAGTCATAACTTTGTTTAGCTTGGATCAACCAGCATCGGCATTCGCACCAACGAAGGTGTCCTTCTTGCTGCTGAGAAACGATCAACTTCGAAACTGATGGTCAATGATGCTATTGAGAAGATTAGCAAGGTCGATGAGCACGTCGGTAAGTCCTCGCAAAAGATGTCGATCAAAACCCCTCCTTTGAGTCATTTTCTTTTTTTCTTTCTACTACCTTGCAAAGTTTCTGCAAAGCCTCTCATATCTGTGTCAGTCATGTGATCCTTTTCCGTAAGCGCAATCGCCACGCAGGAGCTTCGCAGACTTTCGCGCGCGTATGGCTTGGGCATTCATATCGGCCTCTCGACGAAAAGCTCTCC